TATCTTTACACATTGGTGTTTTCAAGTTCTTTGGATAAATACCCAGCAGTGGAATAGCTGGATCATATGGTAGTTCTATCCTTGATTTTTTGAGGAATTTCCATACTGTTTTCCATAGTGGCTGCACCAGTTTGCACTCCCACTGGCAGTGTATGAGAGTTCCCTTCTCTCCACATCCTCTCCAACACATGTTGTTTCCTGTCTTGTTAATTATAGCCATTCTTATGGGGATGAGGTGATATCTTATTGTAGTTTTGATTTGCATTTCCCTGATAGTTAATGATTTTGAACATCTTTTCATGTGTCTGCTCAGCCTAGCTTTTTAATTTTGGTATGTTAGAACACTAAGAATCATTCAGAAGTATGATAACAATTGTGAAGAAGTCTTTAAAACAGGAAAACAGTATTTTATGGAGTCTAAAAAGGATTTCTTTGAATTATCAATACTCTGCATATTGGTCTTTCTTTTTATATTTCCTTCCCAGCTAAACAAGTTGGAACAAATTTAGAGCACACATAAAAATATATATATTTCTAGATCTTGGACCCATGTGGCAAGAGTGAAGTATACTTTTTTCCATGGGGTGTCTGGAATCTAGCATTTAGGACTCCTGTGGTTTGATATGAAGTGCCATCACGTCTTGTTATGGCATGGTAGGGTTATTTAAATGTATGGGACATATCCTTCAGAACTAAGTGAAAGATAAAACAACAAATTGTCTCTCTTGATAGAAAAGGTTTTTCCTTTTGTGGAGAAGGAAATTGGATCTCCACTTTCTCCAAGTTATCCTTGTAAAATGCTAAAACCTACCCAGAGTGACTTAAATGTAAAGAATCAGGGCTGGCTACATAATTTGCAGAGCCTAGGGTAAAAATAAAAATGTGGATCCCCTTGTTAAAAATTTATAATAATTTCAAATTGGCAAGAGCAGAGTATTAAACCTAGTGCAGGACCTTCTCAGCACAGCTCCTGTGTGACTGCACAATCTGTATGCCCATGAAACCAGGTCTGAAGAGCCCTCTTCTTCTTAGATATAGTCCTTTAAAAATTACAGAAAAGTTGATATTTAAAATTAAGTTATTCTCCACATTCTATGTCATCAGGGAAATACAAATTAAAACAACAATGAAATACCACTACATACCTAGTAGAATGGTCAAAATCCAGAATACTGAAAACACCAAGTGCTGTTAAGGATCTAGAGCAAAAGGAACTCTCATTCATTGCTAATGGGAATGCAAAATAGTACAGCCTTTTTGTAAGGCAGTTTGGCAGTTTCTTACAAAACTAAACATACTCTTCTCATACAATCCAGTAATTGCCCTACTTGGTGTTTAGTTATGGGAATAAAAACTTGTGTCCACACAAAATCAGCACAAGGATTTTTATAGCAGCTTTATTCTTTGTTGCCAAAACTTGGAAGCAATCAATATCTCCTTCAGTAGGTGAATGGATTAATAAACTGTGTACTCCAAACAACAGAATATTATTTAGCATTAAAAAGAAATGAGCTATCAAGACATGAAAAGACATAAAGGAAATTTAAGTGCATATTAAGTGAAAGAAGCCAACCTGAAAAGGCTGCATATGGTATGATTGTGCAATATGACATTCTGGAAAAGGCAAAACTATGGAGACAGTAAAAAAGATCAGTGTTTGCCAGGAGTTAGGGGGAAGGGAAAGATGAGTAGATGGAGGTAGAGGATTTTTAGGGCGGTGAAAATACTCTGTACGATACTATAATAGTGATACTACAAATCATTATACATTTGTCCAAACCCATAGAATGTGCAACACCGAGAGTGAAACCTAATGTAAACTATGGACTCCGAGTGATTATGATATGGCAATGTAGATTCATCCTTTGTAAATATATATATATATACCATTCTGGTGAGTGACGTTGTTATTGGGGGAGGCTATGCATTTGCAGAGGAAGGAGGTATATGGGAAATCTCTGTACCTTCTTCTCAATATTGCTATGAACTTAAAATTTCTCTAAACAATAAAGTCTATTAAAAAGTTACATTATAGATACATAAAATATTCACACAACATATATGTTCCATGAACTTTATATATTTGCACATAAGGTTTTGTATAAAAATGTATATTGACTTGTAAGTATACGTATGTTATCTCGCTAATGTTTATATATGTATATATTTGTATATATACAAAAAAGCTTTCTATATATAAACTTATAAGTAGATGCATATGTCTGTATATATGTAAAAATACATGTATATACATATATATGATGAACTTCCAGAAATAGAACCAAAATAGTACATTAATGCCAAAACTGTCCCTGATACTGTCATGTTTCTTCCCATGAAGTAACTAATATTCTTAATTTAATTTAATTTTTTATTATGGTAACATTGGTTTACAATATTGTATAAATTTCAGGAGTACATCATTATATTTCAATTTCTGTGTAGATTGCATCATGTTCACCACTCAAATACTAATTACAATCCATCACCACACACATGTGCCTAATCATCCCTTTCACCCTCTTCCCTCCCTGCTTCCCCTCTGGTAACCACTGTCTATTCTTAATTTTAAAAACTATTCCCTAGGATTGGGGTAAAGTTGGTATTGTAGGTGGACTCTGAACTCACCTCATTCCATGGACACAACAAATTTACAACTACTCTTGGAACAAGTACCCCTGAGAGAGAACTGAAAACTGGATAAAAAGTACCCCCATGATAAGGGACAGTGCTGACTGAGGTGGAAGAGGCGGAAATTCTTTCTGGAGAGAAAAAAAGCCACGTTCACAAGTTGCAACTCTTGGGAGCAATCGTAAGGTATGCAGCCTTCCCTGGAGGAGTGGGGGATCTGAGCTGGGGAGCAATAGTGCTATAAGCAGTTTTTGGACTCAGCATAACCAAGATAAGTGTCATAATATCTGGCTTTGCTAGCTACTTGCAACAATGGAAAATACCCCCAGAAAAGCTATTGGACATAAGAAAACAAAAAAAGCCTGCTCTTAAAGGGCCCATGCACAAATCCATTCATTTCAGAAAGCAACCTAAAATCACTGGAAAGAAAGGTGCACAGTGCTTTGGTGAAAAGAGACTCACCTGATAGGCTCTGGGTGCATCTTGGTGAAAGGCGAGACCTCTCCAGGGACTGAGATGTTGGTGGCAGCAATTATTATGACCTAGTACAAGCATACTGACACAGATGCTGGCAGATGCCATTGAAGTTCTTCCCCTGGCCTGTTAGCCCAGGGTCTGCCCCACCCACTAGAACACCAATTTAATTCAGCTAAGCCAGGGCAAGCAGCCCACACTAGGGCCTGAACCCACCTAACAGCAAGCCTTCAGGAAACTAGTGGGCCTGCATAGGCTGCATGCATGATCCTCTGCAGCCAGGTGAGCGGGTCTGCCTTTGCAGAGCAGGGCATACACAAGGACTAGGTGGAGTGGTGGGGCATTTGTGGAGAATGTGGGGCCTCTGCAGTGGGGTGACTGGATCTGCTTCAGGGAGTTGGGGCACACACACAAGGCAGGACTCTGTTGATGGTGTGTGTGTGGCCCTGTGGGTGGTGGGGATTGTCAGCTGCAGAAG